GTGCTATGTTTTTGCTGTCATCTGAAATAATCTAAAAACAATGGTCTTGAGTATTCAATAAATAACTTATACCTGAATAGAGGAGAGTACCAGAGCCTGCTTTTTGTGTGCTTGCATTAGGTTAGGTTAGTATATGAAAAAGCCGCACGAGCCGAATTTGTTTACATTACCTAGACGGTACGACCCCCTCCTGTAGGTTTAGGTTAGATTAGTATATGAAAAAGCCGCACGAGCCGAGCGAGCGGAGCGAGCGTGTCGCGGCAGCGGCCGGCGATTGCCAGAGCCGAATTTGTTTGCATTACCTAGACGGTACGACCTCCTCCAGTAGGTTTAGGTTAGGTAAATATATGAAAAAGCCGCCCGAGCCGAATTTGTTTGCATTACCTAGACGGCACGACCCACTCCTGTAGGTTTAGGTTAGGTTAATATATAAAAAAGCCGCACGAACCGAGCGAGCGAAGCGAGTGACTACAACTCGATCAAATTAACTTGCATCTCGTTTACCATATTTTCTAAAGATGCGAGGTGCTTTAATTTGACGAGTTGTTTTGTGCGACACGTTCTAATACTTTTAGTATCTGTAATAAGAAATAATATAACAAAAATGTATCATGGATATCGTTTTTTTATAAAATAAAAATATTCAATTGGTTACATTGGTCAAACGGTTTGTTGGGGAAATAAAAACCGGAAAATGAATAACTTGTCAATATGTCAAAATAGTGAAACATTAAATGGTGTAATGAACATGTTTTCGGACAAAATGAAACAAAATCTATTCAATAAAAGTCTAAAGGTTTTCGGAGAAACAAAATTCTCTAGATCATGTTTTTAGCTTGTGATACGTAATCTATCCAACTGGGTGACGAAATATCATAGATTTCTCATAGATGGCGCTACGGCTAAAGAGTCGTTGAAAAACCAAATACAAAGATACGACGCAAGCACATAGAAAAATTCGTGAGGTCTGCTGGTTCGTTCCGTGGTATAGCGTCTGGCATGGTATGGTAGAAGACTTCGGTTCGAATCCGGCCGGATCGAAGGAATTTTTTCTGTGTGTGTTTTTTGTGAGCGTAACATACATATAAAAGAAATACATAGTCGAATTGAGAACCTCCTCCTTTTTTGGAAGTCGGTTAAAAACAGAGACTCGCTACTCGATGTATTACGAGACTGTCAAGATTCCGAACAGACTCGAGTTTAACATTAGAGTTCGAGTTTATTTATGTAACGAGCCGCTTTCAAGTTGGAGTCTCTTTTTGTAACAAGTCAAGCTTGAGTCTGGTGCTCGAGAACCCACGGGCCAAGGGTTCCGAGTCCAAAGACTGCAAATATGTAGACGGAGCCGAGGTCCTTATTACTTTTTATTCTTTCTACAAGCTTAGCTGCGGAGCCAGCCCAAGTTAACAATTTCATCTTCAGAGAAAGCAGTGGTGCAATTCTGTTAGTGCTGTCCTTATCCATGACAACCATGTTGTCACAAATAAATGCCAACACTTCGTTATTCATAATTTTACGAGCTATACACTTGACTACGTTAGACGTTATTATTTATCCGCGCTCACACTATAACGACGGAAACACGACACAAACTGCGCCAGCGCGCGCAGAGCAGCGTTATGTCTGTGGTATTACAAATATTAAAAATGGTCTCATTATCGGCGGTGCCGATGGTGGCCAAATATGGTGACATCTTTATGGGCCACCAGACACGCGACTTTTACGTTCCATCACTTGAAATAAAAAAAAAATTAACTACAAAAAGGAAAAGTAAAATAAAATCAAATGCAGAATAAAGCAAATGTATAACGTAATTCAGAATTTTGGTATTTCAAAGTAGTAAAAGATTATAATCAAATAAGTTTGTTTACTGAAGTTCTGATTAAATAACCTGGTTGAGTTGAAAATAAATAATCCATAATAACGCAAAGAGAAACAACATTCGCACCAACATGATTATTTACATCTGTTGACACACAAATGTTCTCAAATTGGATCAAAAACTTATTTAAGAAACGATACACACACTTGCTGTCTCGACGCGAAAACGATAATCGTGCGCCTTATTGAAAACACAAACTTTTTAAAATAATTAGAACTATTACGTACCTTCGGTATAATAAAGCTTTATGTATCATGGTGACGGGCGCAGTGGTAGTGCCCCTCAGAACTTGGCATTTTAAAGCTCTGAGTGGCATTGTAACTGTTATGGACAGGCGTGTCGCTTACCATCAGGGCGCATGACTTTTTCGTCCCGTCACTTGATGTTATAAAAAAAAAGCCACATGTGATAAAAATAATAGAAACAATAAGAAACAAATTATATAATTTATTACGACAGTTTTCTTGTATCTTCTATGAATTCAGATTCTCCCATTCTGTCCATGCATTAAAAAAAACACTGCATATGTGTGAAATCATGAACCATTCTTTTCTTGTGAAATTAATTTTGGCATAGTAAATTTTTTGGTCTATGTAAAAAAAATTGATCAAAATTATTTTAGTACTGATCGACTCGCTTTTATGTACGGATTATTTTATTGTATGGCACGAAAAAAATCGAGAGAGCAGACGTTTAAATCAAATGTTTTTCATAGAAAATGAATAAAATTGACTAATTTTGTTGTACTGCCTAACACTTTTTAGATTTGTGTTTGGTAGTCGTCAATCAACGCGCCTACCGCGCAGCGTGCTACCATTAAAATATATTTGGTGGTTAGTGCTTTCTTTTGTTACCGCACAGATTTATCACCATTTAGAGCAGTCTATTTAAATATTTTTAATTTTGTACGAAAGTAAAATTTGATGAATTATTGAAAGTTATGGAACAAAAGCTGTTGTATAAGATGTTACGAATATAGTCCTGCGTTATTGTTGCATTTTAGAAATAACTCTGTATAGAACAATGGGATAGCTTGTATCCAGGGATAATTTTTTTCATGAATTTTCATAAGGTGTAAGTAGATCTTAAGTTTTTTAAATTTTTATTGAATTGATGTTCAATTATTTTTTGTGAAATTATTCCACTAGTTTGTTATAATTATTAATACAAAGATCGAACACTCAGAAAAAATTCCTTCGATGCGGCCGGATTCTAACCGACGTCTTCCAGCACATAGAAAAATTCGTGAGGTCCGCTGGTTCGTTCCGTGGCTTAGTTGGTATAGTGTCTGGCACGGTAAGCTAGAAGACGTCGGTTCGAATACGGCCGGATCGAAGGAATTTTTTCTGAGTGTTCGATCTTTGTATTAATAATTATAACAGATCTTAAGTTTTTAAATGTACATACGCTTTTTCAATCTTGAGCCTCGATTTCGCCGAACCTATATTTCTTTTAATAATCAGAACGCGCGGTTACCGCAAGTGTGTAACTACCATTGGAGCACTCACTCAAAGACGCAGTTTCATAATAAGACTAACTGCGACGTTTTAAAATATTTATTACATTATCACGTCGTTTTATTTGACAGTGGAAAATTTATAGTGTGATTTGTCAGTTCAAGAATGCGCTGGCTAATTAATAATACAGTTAGGTGTTTGGGTTTGATTATTTAAACTTTTTTTAAATAAAAAAAAACAGTGGATGATCACGGATGTCCAATGGCTTATACTGTGGGCGCTGGGTGAGAGTCCCTGTTTGATTCCCGGCTTGACCAATTTGGGAATGAACTTTTGTAAATTTATTCTGGTCTGAGTGTTTCGGTTAGTGCCTTGCAGTGCCGATCAGAGCTTTCAATTGCAAAGATCTGAGGGGCACTGCCACAGCGCCCGTCACCCTGTGACACAAGTTGATAAGTCAGTAATTTCATACCGCCTCTGTGGCTGAACGGTTACCACCGGACTGCCACGCAGATATTCCATGTTCGATTCCCGGGTCGAGAGAAATATTTGTATGGCCTACATTTATTTCTCTCGTGAGTTTGGGTGTAATTTGTGGTTGTCTATGTGTGTGTCCATGGCACTCGCGACACAGGGTTTTCCTAGTGAGGGGATATGTTGAGTGTGTGCGTTATTATTATTATTCATCAGCACCCTTACCGTTAAAAAAAACCGGAACGCAGTAATGCTCACATTAATACTTGCCGGTCGAAATAGGTAAGGTGGCAGTACTTTCCTGGACGAAAGTCTGTCTTTTAATAAGGTAATTGGTAAACTACGTGATGCCTATACCCCATTTTTAAGCGCAAGCTTAAGGCTCTTCTGCTGGAAAATCAAAAGGGATGTGTTAACTTTTTCCAGCACCTATTTATTTATACTTTTTATACACATTTGTTATATAATATATTAGTTGCTTGATGTAGGTATAGTGTATACGTATTAATTATTATAATGTATTTTCATAGTTATACATAAATTATTTGGAAGTATTTAAACATACACAACACACACACCCACACTTACACACACACATCTGTTACAGTTTTAATATGTACGTATATATAATTATTTTACTGTTCTATTCAAGTACCAAAGTATGCTTGCATATGTTGTTCCGTGACCTCACTTAGGGTCTTAACTGAAAATCAGTGCTGGGAACGCGTTGCGTTTTCCAGCAAATACTGAGTTTGTGACCCTTTTGTTACCGCGGCTGGCACCACACAAGGTATCTCAATATTTAGTCTCCTTTTTATTATTTGTGTGAATAGTTCATGTTTTAATTTTATCTAATTTTTGTATATACATTTTTATTTTGTGTTTGTTTGTGTTTTTGTTTCGTAATTATATATTTGTTTTACGTTGAATGTTTTGATCGTGTTTTGTTTTAGTTCTGTTTTGTTCCGATCTCTCTTTTTTTGTCTTTTGTCTTTTGTGGTGTCATTGTGGTAAACAAATAAATGTATTTTCTTTCTTCTTTCTTCTTTAATATCATTTTATCGAATTATGGACAATGATGGTGGTGATGGCGATTTGGACCTTCTGAAGCAACTGGACACATTGGTGGACATTCTGTCCACCGAATCAATTTTCAAGTTTCTATCAAGTATATTTGGAGCACTCACCACTCATGACATCTATTTTTCTTGCGAGCTCCCGTTCGACAGATGGGTGCGGTGATGTTTCCAGGTGTCAGACCTAAACAGACGGGCTCATAATCAGGGCAGCAGTCGTCGTACTGTCGGTTCTTGCTGCAGAATTCGTCGCAGTAGCACAGGGTGTCTGTAGATGAAAAATAACATCAATAAATACAGCGGTTTTAACCCTTGGTACACTAGCCGGTTAGTTTAAACCTATAAGACCTACGGGTCTCAGAGTGTTGTGGACACTTAATATGGGCCTCGTAAAAAAGCTCAAGGTCACTCAACGTGCTATGGATTTCTGTACGTAATCGAATTAGAAATCCGTAGAAGAACGAAAGACACCGACATAGCTCGAAGGATTAGCAAGCTGAAGTGACCGTGGGCAGGGCACATAGCTCGTAGAACTGACGGCCGTTGGGGCAGAAAGGTTCTCGAATGGAGATCACGAACCGGAAGACATTCAGTGGAATGGCCTCCTACTATATGGACGGATGGCCTTGTTAAGGAGGGCGCGTAACCGATGGATGCACGCCGCGTCCGATCGACTAGTCTGGAAATCTTTTGGGGAGACCTATGTTCAGCAGTGGACGTCTTCCGGCTGATATGATGATGATGATGACACTAGCCAAATTCGGTATTGACCAACCAATGATGGCAGGTGTAAAGAACAATTTTTTGTCAATGCTCATTATTTAGGCTAACTCGGCCAAAGGCCTGGTCCTAAAATTGGAATATAAACAGGAAAGCTGTAATTGGATTATGTAGAAATAACAATTACTTAACTAATTATTATAGTTTGCAAAGTACCTATTCATCATCATCATGAAATGCAATTACGTTGATTGCAACCATGGTAGAAAAATAGTTGTTACATGAAATTTTAGAATCACATGGACCCTGACAGGGCACAGCAAAATATACTTAAATCTAGTTATCCTAATAAGTTATATTAATTATCAGGAAAAATCCATTTCCAATAATTAAGATAATGAGTGTCAAAAAACCACTTGGTTACGAACAGGATACTTAATATGTGCGTAGGTTAAATACAATGAGATCTTTTGTTATAACTCGTTATCTTGCATGAGCTCTGAGACAGAACAGTATGTTTTTTTTATTAGAAGTGCCTTCAGATTGGAGGTGAATAAACTGTTTTTGGCTATTTTTTGCATATGATTGGGTAATAAATTTGTATTGCTCTTTAGTCATTTCAGCCAAAACACGCCCACTGCTAAATATAGGCCTCCCTAAAGAATGCCACAACGACCTGTCCTGCGCCGCTTGCATCCAGCGGATTGGCGCAGCCTTCACCAGATCATCAGTCCACCTTGTGGACGGTCTGCTCACGCAGCGTCTTTCGGTTACTCTGGTTCCCTTGTGGACATCCTCATTCGATCTCGCAACGAAACTCCGAGCACAGCCCTTTCCATTGCCCTTTAAGTGACCTTGAGCTTTCTTATGAGGCCCATTGTGAGCGATCACGCCTCACTACCGTAAGTCATCACTGGTAACACACATTGGTCGACGACTTTTGTCTTGAGACACTGTAGTATTTTGGACAAGAAGATATAGCGTAATTTACCGAACGCTACCCAGTACCTATTGATACGTGTGATTTATGAATAAAGTAATTAAGTTTCTGCCGCCAAACAGTAATGTCGGCATTACTGTATTCCGGTTTTGAAAGGTAAGGGTGCTGGTGAAATTACAGGCACATGGGAATTGTCAAATTGTGTCTCAGGGTGACGGGCGCAGTGGCAGTGCCCCTCAGATCTTTGCGATTTAAAGCTCTGAGTGGCACAACACCTGTTATGGACAGGCATGACTTGTTCGTTCCGTCACTTGATATTATAGAAAACCTATTAATGCTTATTGCCAGATAGTTAGATAATGGTAGATAAAAAGAAACAAAATTGTAAAATTGTTTTTATATTAATTTACAACATATCTCGTCCTGCGTCAATTTCCGATTCTGCACTTGTTGAATTAATACTCGAACTCGAATGTTTGCAATCTCTCCATTGATATCAATAAATCACTAGGGATGACACAGTTTTATAAATAGTTAATTACTCGCATTTTACGATGGTTCCAAATCACTTGCTAGGGAATTGAAAGTTCTATTGAACAAAATTCGTCACAAACGTGACTTCAACAATAGTATTATCAATAGCTTAGTAGAATTTCGGCGGAAAATGTTGCAAAAATGTGGAAATTGTAAAACAGTCTGAGGTGAAAACCCTCATATCATAATTATGTTTTTGTTTGTTGACATTCATTCTACATCGAATTTGGCTAGAGTGTACAAAAACAGACAGTGTACACAAACAGTTTTTACAAAAACAGATGTCAAAAGTATATCTAAACGGAATCAGTAGCGGAAGCGTAAATACTATAAAGATCTCAAAGAAATAGTTGCAAATCCGTCGACAACGTTGTAAAAAGTTGCATAAAACAGAAGCGGAAACAGATATTAAATGTCTGTTGCATCACCAGTTTTAACGACAAGCCGGGCCTTGAATTTAGGACGAAAAATAACCACCACCAACCACCACACACATACATAAATCACTTGATAGTAAGTATGATGCAGTCGTTGGTGGGTATGCTTTTCGAGAATTTCAAAGATCAGATCAAAAGTGACTAAAACGATAATAACAATAAGGATCAATTTACAATGCCGCGGAACGGAATAGAATCGAATTTTTGTAACGAAATTAGCGCCCTTCATTGGACACACACATTTGTGATTGCGCACACATACAAGACGCGCTGTTTCATATTTTGTATGGAGTTACCCTACTTGTTTTATTTTACAATGGTAATAGCGCGGCTTGTATATGTGCAAGCTCCACGGACGCATAAGGACGCTCATGCATAGGGCGCACTATAAGTTTCCGGAAATGGCCACTTCTATAAACAATATTTAAAAAGTAATTACAACATTTCAAAATGGTTGTCTACATTACCATGGATTTAACTCGTGAAAATTTTCGTAGTATGATTTTCTACGACTTTAAGTGTAATTTAACAGCTCAGCGGAGCTTTGTTCGGCTTCAAACTGCTTTTGGCGATGAAGCACCATGCAAGAAGACTATTTATAGCTGGTTTGCAGAATTCAAACGTGGTCGTGTGAATCTTAGTGACGAATTTCGTGATGGTCGCCGGTCCACTGCTGTGAACAACAAAAACATCGATGCTGTGCGCCGTATGATCAAAACAGACAGGCATTCACATTCCCGAATCTCATGGTATGTTACCATACCTTGAGATTCGGGCATCTTTGGGCATAGGCATGAGTCAAATACAATCAATACTACACAAACATTTGGGGGTGAACAAGCTGTGCTCTCGGTGGATCCCACACAATTCGACTGAGGCTCAAAAAACGGATCGGGTCACTTGGTGCAATGCCATGCTTACCAGATTCAACGAAGGGGCGTCAAATTTGGACATAGTAACAGGTGACGAAACATGGATATAGTTACGATCCCAAAACAAAGCAGCGTTCGAGCACATGGATCTTTCGAGATGAGCCGAAACCAACCAAAGTGGCGCGCGTGCAAAGTGCCTCTAAGCGGATATTTGCTTCTTTTTTTAATAAAACTGGACACGTAGCTACTGTTGCTTTGAAAAATCGTTGTACCATGAATAGTGATCTGTACACGACCATTTGTTTGCCGGAAGTTATTGACAAATTCCGTAAAAACAACCGTAAACGCCGTGTCATCTTGCACTACGAAAATGCCAGTTCTTGCCTCTCACCTTGTGATTTTTATTTATTTTCAAAAATGAAGAACCAGTTACGCGGTCAACGATTTTCATCACCTGAATAGGCTGTCGAAGAGTCTGAAATATGTTTCAGAGATTGTCACGGAGGAATGGCATAAATGTTTTCAAAATTCGTTCATTCGTATGAAAAAGTGCATTAACGCTAACGGAAAATATTTTGAGAGACAATAAATACATTTCTGACCATTTACAGTATTTTTTTCTTATTCATTCCGGAAACTTATAGTGCGCCTCACGTACAAACCATTCTGCTACTTTTGTATGGAATTACCATTTTTTTTACACTAGCAGCAATTACCTTAGTTTGCTTCATTATCATAATATACCTATAGGATTACGCACTATACTAACCACGTCATGAGTATATCTTACCAAGTATATGATGCGAACATCTGTCAAGGCGACCATTACAGCAACCTCCATAAGGCGGTGCCTTTCCGCAGTAAGGGCCAGGTGGCAGATCGTCTGCGTAATATGCTGTCACCAGGGTAACTTGTAGCGCTAAGATCAGGGGTAATCTGGAACAAAGGAATAAAGAAATTTAGCAAAAAATCATATTCTTAATAAAATATTATAAACGTAAATTGGAATCTTCTTTGGTACATTAAAAATTTGTATAGCCTATATTTATTTTTCTCGTGAGTTTGGGTGTAATTTGTTGTTGTCTATGAGCGTGTCCATGGCACCCGTAATACATGGTTGCGGGGCTATGAGCATAAAAAAGAACTATTTCAACTTAAATTTAGTTTAACGATCTCCATAGTCGAGTGGCACACCGGCTTACACGGTATCGCCATCTCTGAGGTCACGGTTTCGATCCCCGGTTGGGTCAATGTAGAAAACTGGATTTTCTATATTGTGTCGGGTCTGGGTGCTTGAGGGAACGTCATTGTTTCCAGTATTTATAACACATTTGCTTTAGTTACGCTGAACCACGGACTTGCATATTAAACTGGACCGCGCACTAAATTAATAAAACGAGCCGAGTGTGAGGCTTTAAAGTAGTAATGCATCTCTTTCTAATAGGGTGTTTATTCAAGTTTCAGCCAGCCATATCGTTTTTAACTTTTTAATTTTTACAGAAAATGAGGCCGCTTATAGATGACCAAAACTACTAATATTATTTCATAATACAAATTAGTATATTTACTATTCATAATAGAAGTTTCATTGTTGATATATTTTGTATTATTGCATATTACCTTTAACTAGACACTAGCTAAGATGATTTTATTTAGCGTTGGCAACTTGTTAGACCAGGACAGACCACTACTTCGAGCTATCTCACGTGTCTCGGTTTTTTACTTTTACTTAAAATGAACCTTGACATAACCCAATAAGGTGAAAATTTGTAATATTGGTATATCGAAATGCGCGATCCAGTTTACGAAATATATAAATCCGTGCGCGGAACACAATAATTCTGACATTACTGCTTGGCGGCAGAAATGGATAAGGCGGCAGTACTACCCTGGACGAATTTTTCACAAGGAGTTCTACTGCTACAAAAGCATGATATTTGTAAATTAATATTATGCTTTACAAGCAGTTAGATTGCATGATTTTGAATGGTATAACCATTGACTTACAATTATATGGACGTCGGGTCCGCGCTAAAAATGATAAAAAAGTGGGATGACGATGAAAGAGGTCGCATGCGTCTACGTACTTTTTTAATAATATCTAATGATGAAACGAACAAGTCGTGCGCCTGTTGGTAAGCTACACTATCCATAACAGTTGCAGTGCCACTCAGCGCTTTAAATCACAAAGATTTAAGGGACACTGCTACTGCACCCATCACCCTGAGACACAAGTTGACAAGTCCCATGTGCCAGGCACACGTCGTTTTATTTGACAGTAAAAAAACTAATAGTGTGATTTGTCAGTTTTATGAATGCGCTGGTTAAATAATATTACAGTTAGGTATTTGGGTTTGATTCCCGGTTGGACCAATTTGGGGAATGAACTTTTGTAAATTAATTCTGGTCTGAGTGTGTCGGTTAGTCCCTTACTCTTACACTGCCACAGCGCCCGTTAACCTGAGACACAAGTTGACAAGTCTCGTGTGCCTCTAATTTCACCCGCTTTCTTATCCTTCAAAACCGGAACACAGTAATAATGAAATTACTGCTTGGCGGCAGAAATAGATAAGGTAGCTGTTCCACCCTGGACGAACTCTCACAAGAAGCTCTGCTGCTACTATGCGGTACGTACATACGAAGGTGACCCTAAAATCTAAAATTCTTTCAAATTAGTTAAAAATCAAGCCTTATAAAGTAATTAATCAAAACTTCAATCAGTAACATTCAACTTTCAATTAAAGTTATCGTCTGGTTTTACTCTACTGTGTTATCTACGATTAGAACACTGGCAGCTATTATGGTAGCCGTAAAACGTATTGCCATAGAATAACTTTAATAAAATAGCCCGAATTCTGACTATGTAGAATAAAACTCTCAGAGGCATTGGTGCAATGTGCATCGAAATTCGAAAACTCTCAACATTTGTGAGTTGTCAGTAAGAAAACCCCCTTATTTTCAATTTCGTAACTACACACCCAATATCGACTTTAACCCCTCTGTTTCCAGTTGATTATAGTTAAAGAAAATTTAGTAATTTTTCGAGTGGAAACGACACTATAGTTTCTGTATGGGGGAACTAACACTTGAGTTCTCAGGTGATAGAAAACTACAATAGACATAATATTAATAATATTATTACAAATAATATTATGACAACGAAAAGTTTGAGCGAAGCATTTTGGGAGATGATTCTACAATAACACGAACAATAATTTATAAAGATCTCTAAAATCGTGAAACAAAAATCAGCTGCTCCGTATTAAATGTTTATTCCTATTAAACCTAAATTAACTTAACTGCTTCCGTGTCCGGGCAGTTACCATGCCGCCACGACTGCCACATAGAGGTATGAGTATATGCGCTATTCGTTATTATAAATAAATAAAATAGCTGACTTTTTTCGCGATTTCTGAAATGTTTCCCGTATTAAAAATTGTTCATATTAATAGCCAAATAATATCTTAAAATCTCACACATCTTTAATGATTTGTGGTTGTCTATGTGTGTGTCCATAGCATCCGCGATACAGAATTTCTCTAGTGCGGAGCTATGAATGAGTGCGTGGGTTTGTTATTACTGAAGCACGTGGTTGCCGCGCCACAGTCGCGCCTCTGCAGCACTTCTACAATTGTTCAATTTGAAAGCACTTTTACTCTCAGTGGTCCATTTGATTCATTTTTAACACATGGTTTAAAAACAGGCGCATATATTTCGGTTACCTATCCGAGGACTTACGAACTCGTAATAAGAATATTCAGATTAAAACTAAGTACACACTCTGCATTTTAATCTATGTAATAGTGCAATGACCTACAGCGATAACGATTGCCTTTGTATTATCGCTTGCGTATGCGCAATTAGATATAGAGACGTTGGTTTGACTCTTTTCCAAAATAAGTATTACCAATGAAAAACTTTCATAGATTTGTCACAGATGGCGCTACGGCAATAAAGTCGTTAAAAACCAAAGATCTGCAACAAAGTACATAGACAAATTCGTAAATTCAATTTCGTTTGTTCCGTTGCTTAGTTGGAACAGCGTCAGCCACAATATGGTGAAGGCTCTGTTTCGAATTCAGCCGATTCGAATGAACTTTTTTTACTCACATTACTGCTTGAAGGCAGAAATAGGTAAGGTGGGCAGTACTGCTAGTAACTATTACTAGTTTCTCGTTGCGATGGGTAACGGATTTTAGTTTTCTCGCTTTTTACCATGTGATATTTTAGTTCGTTTCTGACATATTACTGTCTTGATTCTATATTTTTCTGTTGGTTTAGATATAATTTCGATACGTAAAAGGGCAACACCGAAATCGTGTTATTATCCGGCAGTTTTAATTCCAACTGATATGTAAGAGTGGAGCCATCGAGTATATAACCAGAAATAGAAACGAAATGTCATTTAATTTGTTTGAAAATTATTCTGTAAAATCATTATGGTGACAACTGCGCTCCGATTGACCAGCCCAAATTCGAAATAATTGACGGGTGTCGTCAATTGTTTCACTTCAAATCGATCAGTTTAACTTGGGCTTTGCTATAATGGACGGAAATTTAAAAATTACATATTTAATGTTTAATTACCAATGAAATGTGATTCCGTTTCTTTTGTAATTAGATGTTTTGCTGTTTCTCTCACACCACCGAATGGAACAGCCCCCATTGTAAGAGATATTATCTTTATTACAATGAATACAGAATATTTTTGGAATATACGGAGACGTACACACAGGTCAGTTGTTGGCGCTGTACTATTTAAGTTTTCTAATTTGTGATTTCAACGCAATTGGGAGTTGATATTTAAAGTGATATAAGCCCATTTACCTGATGAGTTGCCAGGGATGGATGGCGCTCATTTCGTCTCTATTTCTGGTTATATACTCGATGAGTAGGGCTAATCGGGCCCGTTTTGAAGTGTTTTATATTAGCTTTTAAATGAGTGTGACTAGCGAATAATAATTGTGATTATAAATAAAGCTACGATTTTCCCTAAATTAATTAAAGATGTTTTCATTGTTTTAAATATTAATAGCTTTGCTTTCGCATTTAGCCAATGACATGGTTGGGAAACAGAATTACTGATAATAATAATAATAACGCACACATTCAACATAGCCCCGCACTAGGGAAACCCTGTGTCGCGGGTGCCATGGACACACACATAAACAATCACAAATTCACCCAAACTCACGAAAGAAATAAATGTAGGCCATACAAATATTTCTCCCGCCCGGGAATCGAACCTGGGACCTCTGCGTGGCAGTCCGGCATGGTAACCGTTCGGCCACGGAGGCAGTTGAGGTATGGAGTTTGTATGAAAAAGGATATGTTAAATAAAAAAAAAAAAAAGGTTGGGTATGTGGGTAGCTATTATATTATATTGTTTTCGATAAATAAGGCCGGTAGGGCTAGCACAACAGGGCGCGACTTCCGCGAGAGCGACATAAAGTGCGAGATCTCTGTGCGGGAATAATAGTTTGTCGCGCTTTATGTCGCATTCGCGCTTGTCGTGCCCTGTTGTGCTAGCACTACAGTACATTATAAATATTTTATTACATAAATACAATAAACTTGTTATGGACGCGGGGAGTGGGGCACTGATTGCCAGGAGTTCGGATATAAAAGTATTGTGGTCAGTTGAGGGGACAGGAGAAGAAGATATGATTTAGATCCCTATAAGCTCTGCATGAGGAACAGAAACAATTTTGAGATTACATTTCGCCGGAAACAAACACCGGTGTTGCCCTTTTACGTATCGAAATTTTATCTAAACCAACAGAAAAATATAGAATCATGACGTTACTTAGCACATAGTTCAACGGTCTCTCTCTCAAATTGATATTCAAACTGCCGCTGTAAACAGACACCAGGCGCCAAGGTGGCAGAGTAATTTACGATCAACCTTCAGAACGATAACCTCAAAACAATGTATA